GGGATGGCGGGATGAGCCTGAGGTAGTGGGCGGAAGGTGGCCCCTAAAGTTAGCTCCTTACGCTGAAATCCAAAGAGGGAGGGAGGGATTTAAAAAGTGGTGATGGGGGTGTGTGGGGAAGGTGGGCATAAGAGGTCTGCCTTCCAAGAAATCCACTGACAGGAGTATGGAAGCTGCGTTAGACACGGCAAGTCCATGAGAGCACTTCCGGGAAGCAGACAAGAGCCTGAAGAACAGCGCTCGGGCTGGAGGCGGGGACTCGGGTATGGAGGAGGCAGTGCCACAGAGGCGGAGTCAGAGAGGCTGCGATTCAGAATAACTTCCCCTGGAGGAGGCTACACCACAGTGTTGGAGGCAGAGACGCTGCGTTTCAGAATAACTGCCCGTGGGCAGACCCTAAGGCAGCCCCACGAGTCCCTGGGTGTTCATGCTCTGTGTAATCTCCGAGTGAGGCAGTAGTGTGCCTCACTTCTAGACAAAGCAAAAGCAATGGGATTTTGCTAATAAAAGCAGTTCATTTTAAGTCCATCAAGAGGAAGAGTATCCTGAGTGGCCTGATTTCCAAACCCTTAAAAGAGGAACTGGGCCCTTTCCAGTTGAGAGAGTCCTATTGGTGCAGGAGAAGTTGATTCTGACTCCATGTTGGAACTGTTTCTTTGACTTGCTTTCCATTGCTTTTGTTATTATAATCATACATAGTGGCCTGCTTCAGAGAACCCTGCCCCGGTGCCTGACTGTTAAAGTGCCTTTGCTCAGAACCCTGCCCACCTGCAGATGGCAGGAAGGAAGAAACACACCACTGCCTGAGGCTTGCCATTCTAGGAATATTGCAAGATCAGTGGCCTTGTTTCCTTTGTTTCCTTGCCTCCCCCTCATCTCTGACCCATAAAAGAAACTGGCATCCAGACCCCGACTAGATGATTATTTTGAGATGCTAGTCTGCCATCTTCTTGGTCAGCTGATTTTCCAAATAAAGTCGTATTCCTTGCCTCAACACCTCCTCTCAGATTCACTGACCTATCCTGTGGCGAGCAGAGTGAGCATAGGTTGGTAACACTACGGGCTTGACGATGTAAGCAGTCATACTAGAGAAACCCACATGCCAGGACCTGTGAGCAGCCTCCAGCCAACGAAAAGGCAGTCATACAATCCCAAGAATATGAAATCTGTCAACAACTCGGGGTGAGGGGGCTTGGAAGCAGTCCCTTCCGCAGTACAGCCTCCAGATTAGAGCACAGGTGCAATCCACACCTTGATTGCAGCCTTGTCAGACCCTGAGCAGGGGACCCAGCTCAGCCATATTCAGACGCCTAACCCAGAAAACTGCCAGATAATAATATGTGTTGCTTTAAGCTGCAATGGTTGTAGTAAAATGTTATGGAATAACAGACTAACACAACTTCTAAGCTCCCTGGGGGTGCCCCTTAGGGAACAGTGGGGTGGGGGAGGAGCTGATGACAGTTACAGCTAGCACTTACAGACTCACCATGGGGCAGGCACTGTAATAAGATTTTAGGCAGCTGATTTATTACCCACAACAGTCAATTGTGTTAATTGACCATTGTACAACACAGTCCCCTTCTTGAGACAGGGAGGCAGGCAGACCAATGTTTAGCAGCACAAAGCTTCTGTTCCTTCTTCTCTATGCAAAGGCAAACAATTCCCAATCAGAAAGCATGTGATCTCTGCTTTAGAAATTCCAGAATCTGTGGGCCCTTAATCAAGGAATTTTTTCCTTTAGCTACTGTCAGCTAGCTGGATTTTCGTGTGTGCCATGAAGCCTACTGAATCTCAGGTATCCAGCAGAGGAACAGGCCTCAAGACATTTCAGGACTCACCTTCTGCCACATCTTCCCTGAAGAGAAGACAAGAAACATTAAGGCACATTTTTCATTAGAAAAGAAGTTTTATTTAAGGTAGACACAACAGTGCAGAACAAAAACACCACTTCACTTTTATGTATAGACACAGTAGCCTTGGTGTTCAGCCTTTCAACTCCCCTTAAATATCAGCATGGTCAGAAGGCAGGCTGTGGACAGGTGACTTATGTGGAAATATGAAATAGAATGGTCAAGGCTCTTGGTTTTTAACAGTCATTTTCTAAGACTGTAATTTGTTCCAATCCTTCAATCTCTGTGGAATAGAAACCAAATCATTCTTACCAAATGACACGGAAAGAAAAAAAAAAAAAAAACCAAACATTTTTCTTTAAAAGGTTTGAAAAAATGTAGTCATTAAAAAGAACGTAAATTATGCCTAGAGCACCACTTTATGAATACCGTTAAACTGTCATTATTGTGCTTTTAAAAAAAGCCAACTTGTTAAAGAGGAGCTGATGGCTTCAGCTTTTGTAGAAAACTCTTGGGACATTGCAGAATTCTTTTTTCCTCTTCTGATGAGGCACAGAGAAAGCATTCAAGGTACGAGAAACTTTTACAACTTTCAGGAACAATGACTGATCAAATCACATGCATTAAGAAACAAGTATTCTTACAGCAAAAGAGAGAATCCCCAAACACAATACATTTCATCTAAAGCAGGCAGGACAAACCAATCAAGGATGAGCGTGTATTACATTCCATAAATGACACAATGTCATCTTTGCCAAACTTTCTCAAAGGTTTTACTTAACTTGTGAAAAACAGAACAAAAATGCCAATGACTGCCCAGGAGGAGCCATTTCATCCTAGTACCTTCAGCTGAAATTACTCAGAATTGCACATTTCAGTCAACATTCCTTTTCAAATTATTCTGGGAAATTACAGAGACCTTTATAACTTCAATTGCCCTAATCACTGGGAGGCAACACTGAAAACTTGTATTGAACATGGAAAGGATCACAATTCACTCCAAAATAAAAAGCTAAGAACTGTCACTAATTACATGCCGAAATCTATCCATTTGCAGAACGGATCCTTTCTCCAGCAAGAGGCTAAATAAGCCTCGCCTCCCCTGACCTGCAGAGGACCATTTGCCTTTTAAAATCAAATTACAGTTGTCCACAAACTAGGATTTATTATAATGGTGTGCTCTTTTGTTCAAGTATTTACAGAATGCCTAGTCCATGCCAGTCACTGTTCTGGAACTTGTGATATGGCAATGGGTTTAAAACAAAATAAGCAAAAGAGACCAACATGCATGCATTTTAAAAGCTGTGCAACAATCTAGCTCTAAGCGTTCTCACAGTTCTCACAGGATCAGTGCATGCAGTGCCCTGCCGCCATCCCAGCTTAGCTCATCCTTGCGAAGTAGAGGGTGCTCAGAATAGGAAGCCTCCACAAAAGAAACACAAACACCCCACAGGACCTGCCTACAATGTGGGACATTTCTCCATTTCTCCCAGGATGCTTACGAAGTAGGACAAAGCATCGTGCATGTCAGGGGTATGCCCACCCTCCCCCTGCCCAGCGAGGCTAGCTGCAGGGGACGATGCCGTGATCTGGAGGCTGAGGACGTGGTCTGCGCAGACCCCTGATCAGGTGGGCTACTGCCCACCCCCCGCTCTCTTAACGGACTCTTTCAGTCTGACTTGAGGAAACATTGTCAGTTATTCAAGGGGACAGCTCATTCTAAGTGTGTAAACACTAATCAGTAAATTGAAAGGTTGTTGCTGAACGATAAGATGCGGGATTCTTGGCCTCCGGAGGAGACGAATTCAATCCAGGGCCAGAGACGAGGCTGGATGGCTCAGAGCTTTTGTGTAATAAAGTTTTATTAAAGTATAAAGGAGATAGAGAAAGCTTCTGACATAGGCATCAGAAGGGGGCAAAAGAGTACCCCCCTCCTAGTCTTTAGCTGTATGTTATATAGTCACTCACAGTCTGTTAATGAAAAGAAAGGAATGTCATAAAATTTAGAATGGCACCAGATAATTCATCCCTGGCCATAAAACGATTGACTTGAATCTTGTAGAAGGGCAGAATACCAACAAATAGCTCTATTTACATAGATTAGGGGAACAATACCTGAGTAAGTAAGTCAGGCCGTTTGGGGGAACCAACTTGAAGATAGAGTCTGGGGTTCATTAACATAGCTTAAGACAACAGTTCCATAGGAAAAAGAAATGTATTGGTTAACTCAAGGTTTGAGAGTAGCTAGCTTCAGGTGAGACCAGGTGTCATGGCAACACAGGACTTTAAGAGAAACCTCCTTTTAAATTTATATAGAGAAGGAAAGACATATCGCTGGTTTGTTTCTTCCTGCTGCTTATGAGAGATAAAAATGTCTGGCACCTGCAGCCTCTTTCCTCCATTTGGAGACCCCTGGCCTTCCTTCCCGCCTGTTACCCTCTCAGAATGAGCACCTGACTGACTGTTGGGAGCAACGCCTTTTCACAAGGGCTACGGGAATCTCCCTACCACGCGGCTTGGTCCCCAGCCATTAGAGCCAGCTCCTCAACCTGGGGTGTGTGGACCACGAAGACCCCAAGGGTATTTAGCATTGTGTGTGTGTCTGAGGAGAAGGTCCCTAGCTTTAGAAAATGTATTTACAAGAGGGTTTGGAACCTCCTAAAAGTTTAAGAGCCTCTATCTTAAGAGAGTGTCTGCCCGTTATTTGGTGAAATTAGAGGAGCCGGACACTGCTGTGAGAATGGTTGGTCAGACTGCAGACCCAACACTGGTGCTACAAGGCCTGGGTAAGAGGACATGTGGTGGTTTATTAGGAAGACACTGGCCGGAAACAAACTTAGCTGACACTGGCAGTGGTCATTTAGGATCTGTTTGCCCCCTTTTGTAAAGCAATGATTGATTCCTCATCCTTGGGAATCTGCTCAAAGGTAGTCCTCACCTAAGCCAGCAGTGGATGGAGAAGTTAACTTTCCTAATAACACTTTTCCTCAAGTCAAAATGTATGGCCAGATGTCCCCATTAGCCTCTTATTGCTGTGATTGTTCATGGACACTATCATGTACCTCCAGGCTGTGTTCCCCATGTCCTGCAAGGTAAGGTACAAAGAGCGATTGGAGCTCTTTCTGTTCAGAATCACTGTCTGTGTTACTGTTTTATTTAAGCTTCAGCTTGGGGGATACGTGGCTAAAGAACTTCCGGGAAAAGTAATAACTAGACTCTCAAAACTATCAGCTAGAAATGATGGGAAAGAGAAAAATAGTTTTGTGTTCCCCAAGAACACAGCATTTGCTGGGAGTTCTCTGGAAGGACCTTCATTGTGGTTATTACTCTTCCTCTTGGTACCTGCCTCTGTCTTCACTGCCTTTTTACTAGTCTCTGAATTCCTCGAAGGTGGGCACCGGCCTTATTCACATCCACGCAGCCAGTAACTAGCTAACCTCTGGGACATCACAGATGCTACCGGAACTCAAGAGAGTAGGGATGGGGGGTGCACAGATGTTAGGGCTCTAATTAAAGAATTACATGTGACAGGGCTGAGAAAGTTTCTGATTTCCTAAAATAACATATCCACTTCAAACTATAAATTAGGGGCAGTCTATAAAGAATCTGAGACTTTGGGGGAAAAAAATCAAGTCATAGAAAACTATATTTCAGAAAATTTTCAAATTACACAAAGAAACAGGTGGAGAGAACTACAATACAACATCTGATACAGTGATATAAAAAAGTAGCAAAATCGATGATTTAGATTACTGACATTTCTAAGTCACACTATATTTCAAGGGTAATAAATATTATGCAGTAAGAATAATTTAAAACACTGATTGAATTCTGGATATTTATTATTAGCTTTCCATCTCAGAAACCATCACAGAAACACAAATAAAATCCACTTCTGCGAATATTCTGAAAGGCAGAGAGCAGCTTATGTAATTAGATCAGGTAAACAACTGCCCCTAAGAGCCACACATAAACTTTGAGGCTCCTGAGGATTATTCAGTAGCAATGTACTAATTTTAACTTTCCAAGAATAAAAACTGGAAGGTCCACAGATGTCCTTTTTAAGAATTTTGTATAAAATGTAAACATAATTGGGATCTATTTACATGACTGGAATTGGGAAAAGGTTTCTGATATTCCCAGTCAGCCTTGAATGTTTACGAAATAATGCTTGGCTGATACACGACATACATATTTGTAACATTTATTCTATAATTCCTCATTAATGCTAGAATGTTCTTCCCAAATGGCCTCAATTCTGATATCATACAATTCTAAAGTTAAATGAATTTTTCAAAGATGTTTTTAAATATAAATAAACTGCAAAATTGTTCTGGCTCTGAGCACATGTTAATGTGCACATGGCAAATGTCATTTATACATTCTGATCCTAATAGGCAAAAAATGTCCCTTACTTTAAGCCTTCTGTGTTCTTTGATATGTTTTCTTTATTGAATTAAAATTATACCTTCTGTGTTCTATTAAGCCTTCTGTGTTCTGTGAATTTGCCTCAGTAACATCCTGTCTCAAATGCTTTTGATAACAGAGGAATGCCCTGCAGACAACCTCTTCTAAAGTAGCCACTTTAACTTGTTCTGTATGCTTGCTTTCCCCACTGGGTTCATTTAGAAGCATTCCTTCCTGTATGAAGTCAAGAATTACACATCCTTTCAACTCTACCTTATTAACAAAGTTCTCAGCCAGAGCAGCACTTGGGTCCACTGCCCTTTGCAGCGTAGGGCATCACATGGTGGTTAGAGGGTCTCAGTTGGCCACGGGTGACAGGTGGCAGGGCCCAGAGCCTGGTTATGAGAACAGGAGCGCCAGCGGTTCTCCCAGGGTAGGACACCACCAGGCAGAGACCCCCATGGGTCCAGAGTCAGTCAGGGAATGTTTTGTCCTCCAACAGTCATTGGGACATAGACGAGATTCATATTAAATTATACCCTGACATTATCATCCCATAAAACAAAATAAAAAGCTCCCCAAGTTCTTGCTCTCTGTAGTTCAGAGGCTCTTTGCACCATCTGCACAGAAAGGCATTTTGTTTGTGGCACTAAAGCGCTACTCCTCTTCCTGGAATTAGCCTTACCACTTTTCGCGTCGACACTTGCCGAGGCTTACTTGTTTCCATGTTGTCTCGTAGGAAGTTCATGAACCACCCCCCACAATATTTGTTGACCATCATTTCCACCAGAGACTCAGTAAGACACGCTCAGTACCTCTGCTGAGAACCATTTACTGCCAATCAGCTGGGTGCCTGCCAGAGGTGCTGTAGCCAAAACGAATCCCAGGTCAGTCACTGATCTGAAGTTCACAGGACAAAAATCATCAGCAAGAAGTGTCCAGAAGTCTCTGTCGGGCATTCTTCTCTCTATTATTTATTTTTGTTTCACTGTGTACATTCAAATCTGCCAGAACAGAAAACAAGCATTTATGATGGAAATCCTAGGGCAGGTTCCATTGGCACTAACTTTTCCTCTGCTATCAATCTAGCTGTTGGTTTCTGCCTTATCCACTTAATCTTAGCTTCACTGCAGAGCAGCTGAAGGTGGGTCAGGGTGACAAGTAACTCAATAAACTCCCAGTCCCTTTTGTAAGAGACAGAGAAAGACCAACAAGATGATCAGAGAGACAGAGACAAGCCAGTAAAACAAAACAAAAATGAGCAAGAGTGACATCAGAGAGGAACGCTTGAGCAAGAGGTGGAGAATGAGACAGAAGAGAATGAGAAGGAAGAGCAACAGGTGTTTCCCCTGGAAACCTGAGGCAGCACCAACAACCCCCTCTCTCCCTGCACTGAGGGCTTTCTGCTAATCACACTGGAGAAATAGGCTAACACCAGTGGGCGGGGCAGACACTGTCAGTCAGTCATCAGAGGCGCAAAGGGCTCCGTGGGCTCCCCGGCTCCCCAAGAGCCAGGCCTACCTTGCAGCTCTGTCGTCTGGTCCCCCAGCTCCTCCGCCGTCATCTCCACAGGCTCGGGACTTTTGCCATCAACCATGTCCATCTTGATCATGCCGAGGTTGGTCAGGAGCAGCATGGGGTCAATGTCCTGACAACTGCTTTTAATATTCTCCAGGACCTTAAGACATTTGTATGACTTGAGTTCACTGATATTCTCCTCCAAGAAAAGAACATAGAGGCTCAAGTCATTGTACCCTTCCAACTTCAAATGCAGAACATCGAACGTGGGCAGGATTTCATACACTTTGAGAACATCTGTCTTCTGCTGGAAGGGAACAAACAGGGAGTAGACCACCACCGGAACCAGCATGACATACACCACGAGGTTGATGAAACTGAGCAGCCGGAAGATACCAACAGCAATGAGCTTGCACTGGAACTTATCGGGGACAGTGCTGTCATTTTTCAGGATGCCGGATTTGATGCTGCAAACGAACTCATCCGAGAGAGAGGAGAGGCTCAGGTAATAGCCCAGGTAGATGCTGGCTAACAGTATCGTGCTGAGTGACAGCACCCGGCAGCTCATGTACTTGACGATTAAATGTCTGGAGGCTTTCTTTGTCCTTAAGTACTGTTCCACAATTGGGTACCTGAAGTGGCTTTCCTGTAAACTAAAAAGGAACAAAGAAAAATAATTTAAATCCTCACCAAGACCATCAAATAGAAACACATTCAATGGTACCACATGGAAAATTTCCATCACCTTCCCTTCCATACTTCTCTATCTGTAACTTCACTGGAGTACCCAGGGAATAAAATTAGTTTTTTGTTTTCTGTTTTTTTTTAAAAAAAGAAGGAAAAGTAATAATAAAACCCTTCTCCTCCCAACTTAATATTTTAAGGAAGGTCTAATTCATTAAATGTGCTACTTGTAAATTGTTAGAACAACTCCTGGCATCCTAGTGAATGGTAAATATTTGTTACATAAATTTGATTGTTCTTATTCTACTGCTGTTTTTTTAAACTATAATTTTCCATTCAAGTGTGTAGAAAAAAGACAATTTTTCCAGCCTAACTAGAACACATCTGCTTCCTGTAGGCCAGCAGTGGGAGGCAGACAGCTGAGAGGGTGTAGGTTTAGCTAAACCTGGTNCAAAGCAACTCACCCTGCACTTGAGAATATGAGAGAGTGACACTTCACTCCACAAGGGAAGGACTTGAGGTGAGGACCGCTGCTGGGGCAGACAGGTGGGGTGAGATCTGGGGAGAATGGGCCTTCCTGGCTCCCCCCAGGTGTCACAAGGCAGATGGCAGTCCCCCATGTACTGGTAGTGAGAACCCGAAGCCCAGATAGACAGGAGAAGGGCAGCAAACTCGTACTCCCAAATCCCAGTGGGCTGGGAGCTGAGTTACCTTTGCCCCGTGTTCTCATTAACTTTTGGTGCTGGACAGACACTGTCTCTCAAGTCAAGGTCATGCATGCTCTTCGCGGCTTTAATTGCGCGGTTGTAAACTTTGTCGAGTTCTTCCATGATAAACTTCAAATCCGAGCAAACATGAGGAGCAGCTGCGAAACGCCAAAACAGGGAGGGCAGGTACAGCAGGATGGCCACCAGCAGCAGGATGTAGGGGAAAAACTGAAAAACAGAGGAGCAGATCATGCAATCACCAGAACCGCGCCCCCCTCCAGTCCCCATTGAAGTAACCGTGCCAAGCAATGTGAGCAGTTTTCTCATTTTGACACTAAAGTGCATCCCCACATCACTTGTGAAAATCAGGCTCCTTACCCAGTAGCTACATCTTAGGGCTAAATTCACCTGTCCAGGTAATACTTGACACTAGTAACTCCCCAACTTTGCTAGACTCTAATTTGAAATAATTGGCAAGTACATCATGACACATGATATCTCCATTCTAATCAAAGAAAGAAACAAAAAATAAAATTATTCCCTGGTCTTTTAAAATAATTCCTCAGCAAAATCACAATTAAGGAACCGTGACACTAACAGTAGCCTTCAGGTTCTTGTTTTCTTTTTTTAATTGTTATGATTTTAGGAGGTCACTAAGGAACTCTGTTTTTCTCCCTCTCTGGAATCTGGGAGAATAACACAGAAATGCACAACTTTGCTCAAAACAAATTAGAAAAATGTTGGTTTCAGTGACTCAGTAAACATCCCATGAACCGGTGGAAATAAGCAGGTAAAATCCACAAAGTGCAGAACGGACCTTCCGTAGAGGGACAGACCATGAGGACCACACAGCATCCTCACTTTACAGCCAGGTAATCTCAAGTCTAGAGAAGCCAACAATAATGGACAACAGTCATGGGGGAGCATCCCAATCTAAATGGTGCGCAAAACCAACGAGAGAGGCTTCAGAAGTCAGAGGGAAGAGCATCCTGTAACCAAGTGCCCTGGGGAAGGGAGGGAAGGCTCAGCCTCAAAGACAGAGGGAGCTGCAGCCAGCACAGATGTGAAGTCAAGCTCAGGCAGTGGCCTTGGCAGCAAGGTTGCTGAGCCTCTGACCTCAGTTTCCCTATCTATGAAATGGTCGTGTGACACAGGTGTTATGAAGATTAAATTAGATACCTTATGAAAAATGCTTCACGTGGTGCCTGGCATGTCACAGGCACTAAAACACACCAACCAGAACCAACAGAAGGGCTACAGAGTGGCCACGTTAATGCCAATCCTCACAATGAGCCCAGCAAACCATTACTGATGGCCTCATTTTGCAAAGATGAAGAGGATGCCCAGAGCAATTGCTGGCCCTGGAGCACAAAGCTGGTGACAGAGGCAGGATACAAAGCTGGACCTTTCTGACCCCAGAATCGTGCCTCTTCCACCATAATACACTGCAGATTATTTTACTTCTCTGGAAAACTTCTCCCTCCCTTTGGACTGGTCTCTCTCCACAGCTCCTCAGAGCTGTAACAGAAAGAGGCTACGAAGGCCTTGAGTTGACACAAAACCTGACCCTTACATCTCTGGAAGCCGGCAGCAGACCAAGTGAGAGTGTGACTCACTACAGACTTGTGTGTGTGCTTAGTCGCTCAGTTGCGTCCAGCTCTTTCTGGTCCTATGGAGTGTAGCCCGCCAGGCACCTCTGTCAATGGAATTTTCCAGACAAGAATACTGGAGTGGGTTGGCATGCCCTCCTCCAGGGGATCTTCCCCACCCAGGGATCGAACACGCATCTCTTAAGTCTCCTATATCGGCAGGTGGGTTCTTTACCACTAGCGCCACTGGGGAAACCTGGGAAGCCACTATAGATTATTAATAGATGTACAGAAGAGTTGCAAAGATGGTCCAGAGTGTTCTCAAATGACCCTCATTCAGTTTGCCCCACTGCTAACATTGGACATCTCCATGGTACCCTTGTTAAGAGGAAGAAACTGTTGTTTATATATTACCATTAACTACATTTCAGGCTTTGATTTGGATTTCTCCAGTGTTCCCATTAATGCCTTCTTTTTGTTTCAAGATCTAGGGTACCCACTGCATTTTGCTGTCACGTCTCCCTAGAAACCTTGGTCCTATAACAATTCCTCAGTTTGCCTTGTTTTTCATGAAGAACAGCATTTTTAAATTTTAAATTTAAATAACAAATTCACAAAGGAAATGGCTGACACTGATATACAGCTATCACAACATTAAAAGACAAATTTGTATATGCTTCTTTATTAGCACATTTGATGGGATCTAACAGATGGTCCAACAACACAGTACCTTGGAAGTGATGAAGAGTAAAAAGTACTTCAAGACAGCTGAGATTTCTATGGGTGACAGTGACAGGTGGTACCGACACCACTATAGATTTTTTACTACTTCCTAACGTTATCATGGAGCCCACATTAGGAAGCCCGGCCCCAGGGGCAAGAGAAATAGCAGAAATGGCTCAGAAACTCCACAGTCTTGGGGGTTCTGGCATGGGATGGCATCCTCAAAATTACTAACCCAATTTACAAAGAGCTGCTACACAATGATACACACAAGAGGCTGTGATTAGCTGCATTTTGGCCACATGATTCATTGTTGGCTACAGTGAGATGCAGTGTTCCTTTAATCCTAGTCACCCTGAGGGGTGCCCATTAGTATAAAAATGAGTTTGTATTGCTTCCATAACCAGAAGAAACAGGGATTTCCTTTGACAACCACGGAGGGAACACTTTCTAACTTGGGGCTACGGAATATGTGTTTAAGTCACTTTTGTTTCAAAGCTATTCGAATAATATTTAACCTCCAAGCATTCTTTTAAATTGAAAAGTAACTACTTACAGCCTGTAACAATTTTTCTAACATGCCAAAACCATGCAATAATTAGCACCAATGAATAGTTCACCACCACTCACTGCAATTAGAAAAAATGAATGTTTAAAGGTATTACACATCGAGTGTTTCTTTTCTTCTAAATATCCTTGTACTAAAAAATAAATAAATAAATAAATAAATAAAAATAAAGAAAATAAATATCCTTGTACTTTGATCACCTGTAGCGGAGTGTAGAGGAATGTCCCATTTCTTAGTTTTTCTTCATAGTTAAACCTCTCTTTTCCTTTTCCATCAGAAAGAAAAAAGTGATTTTCAATGAAACTGCAGCAAGATGGTTTTAAAATTAATTCCACTGAAATAGGAATTTTTAAAAAAGGCCATGAAATTATATTCTTTAAAATCCTTTCGTCCAAATAAGGAGAATGGAAAAACTACCAGGCTTTGAAGTGCATCTGCTGGAGGGGGACGGCTTTGTTCCTAACCTCTATCTACTCCCAGTTAGTTCTGAGGTCTCAGCATCTTTCAAAGTCGTGATTGCATGATTCAGAGTTTTTGCACATGTAACTAGTGAAGACGAGGTAATACTAACTTAGCATTGCATGCTCAGTTGTGTCTGACTCTGTGACCCCATGGACTGCAGCCCACCAGGCTCCTCTGTCCATGGGATTTACCAGGCAAGAATACTGGAGTGGGTTGCCATTTCCTCCTTCATGAGATCTTTCCAACCCAGGAATCAAACCCACATCTCCTGCATTTCTCACATTGGCAAATGGATTCTTTACCACTGAGCCACCTGGGAAGCCTGTCATATTAACTTAAGTTGTTGCTGCTGTTCTATCGCTCAGTCATGCCTGACTCTTTGTGACCCCATGGGCTGCATCATGCCAGGCTTCCCTGTCCTTCACCATCTCCCGGAGCTTACTCAAACTCATGTCCATTGAGTCTGTGATGCCATCCAACCATCTCATGCTCTTGTCCCCTTTTCCTCCTGCCTTCAATCTTTCCCAGCATCAGGGTCTTTTCCAATGAGCTGACTCTTCAGATCAGGTGGCTAAAGTATTGGAGCTTCAGCTTCAGCATCAGTTCTTCCAGTGAACATTTCAGGACTGATTTCCTTTAGCATTGACTGGTTTGATCCTGCAGTCCAAGGAACTCTCAAGAGTCTTCTCTAAGGACACTGTTATAAAGCATCAATTTTTTGGCGCTCAGCCTTTTCCATGGTCCAACTCTCAAATCCACACATCACTACTGGAAAAACCATAGCTTTAACTAGATGGATCTTTGTAGGCAAAGTAATGTCCCTGCTTTTTTAATATGTTGTCTAGGTTTGTCATAGCTTTTCTTCCAAGGAGCAAGCTAACTACCTTAAGGTGGGCTCTAATCCAGTGACTGGTATTCCTCTAAGCAGGGCCATAAGAAGACACAGAAACACACAGGGGAGAAGGTATGCGAAGACAGAGGCAGAAACTAGAATGATGCACCTACAAGACAAGGACCACCAAGACCGCCAGCCATGACCAGAAACCAGCAGCAAGACACCAACAGACCCTCCCTCTGAGCCCCAAAGCAGGAATTGACTCTGCTGACATCCTGATTTCCAAATCTAGGAGAGAGGAAATCTTGGTTGTTTCAAGTTACTGAGTATGTGGTCACTTGTCAAAGCAGTCCCAGGAAATCCACACGAAGGGGAAGCATGAACTGAATTATGAAGTTCCCACAGTATGGGGAAGCCACTGGTGGAGGGCATGATGGAAATTTATTTTAGAAAGATTATTACAGCCATGAAGAAAAGACGACACTGGAGAGGAGACAGCAGGCAGGAGGTTATGCAGCAGACAGGGGCAGTGATAAGCACTAACAAGGCAGCAGCAGCAGAGAAGATGGATCCGAGAGCTGTTGGGTCGGCCAGAAAGTTCGGGTTTTTCTGTAACATCTTATGGAAAAATCTGAATGAACTTTTTGGCCAACTCAATACACAGAGGGAAAAACCTATCTTCTGGGGCCCAACTGTAAGTGATGGATGGAAAAGGGGAAAAAATAGGGCTATGAATCCCATGTTTCCAGCTCAGATTGAGGGCATGGGTGGTAGCGCCATCAGTTGAAATAAAGAAATAAGGAGGAACAGACTCAGAGCAGAGAGGAGTGACGTGGGAGACAGAGCTGAGATGAGAAAGTCTGAACATGAAACATCACAGTCAAGAGTAGCCTGGTGGAGACGTGTAGTAGATAACTAAAAATAAAAGAAAATCAGACCATTTCTTTCCAATTTCAGATTCTGCAGCATAGAGATGGTCAAAGAAGCCAAGAGCATGGTTAGGATCCAAGCAGAATGTGCAGGAAAAGACAGGCAAACCATGCAGGACATG